GTCATGCCAAAGGCAGGAATCTGGGATTTTGCAGAACTCCAGCTTACATTTCCTCTGCTGTTTCTGGAGCCCTTGTGATTGAACCTCTGGTCCAGGAGGAAGACAAGCCCATCCTGCGAGTGTTCAGCACCGTCACCAAGGAAACCTTCCTCATCATGGGAAACGTCTTTCTCCTGACTATGACCGTGTCCAGCCTGAAGACCTTGATCTGGCAGCAATCTGGCTTCCCAGTCAGCATGTTCAGGCTCAGCACTCAGTCCAGGCTGGAACTGTTCAACTTCAACTGTTTGGATGACTATGGGATAGATGTAGGTATGACCACCTCTTGGTCTGCAGTTTCCTGGTGCTGGAAAGAGAGGTGTGTCATAGATTTTAAATCCAACTGGGCTCGTAAAGACTTCAATCAGCTCATTATTAGCTCAGATTGACAAAATTTCCCAAGGAATGATCAAATTATTGTGTCAAATCCTGTTCCGAAGTCAGATTTCTCCCTCAAAGCAGAGGTGGTGGGCCATATTTTGGATACAAGAATATTTCTTTTGTTCTTTTATCTCCCTGGTCCAGAATGCTGGTCCTTTTAATTCCTCAGCCTTGCGGAAGTTAAATCTCTTTTGCAATATCAAGGTTCTCCCCACGGCGCCGGACTGCTGCTGTATCTGCATGATAATCTAACCCAGGTCTCTCAGCTACAGGGTGAAGGAATGCCTTGGTATGCAAGGCTATCACAGCTGGGCAAAAACACAGGCTAACTATGTCTAGTATGCAGGCTTTCCAAGTACCTGCTGATAGACTGTTTCTCATCATAAAGGCCTGTGAGGAATAGACAGGGTCCGTCATCCTGTCTGGTGCTGTGAACGTTCTCACGGGTCCTTATGCCAATATTCTGTTGGTTAAGAGAGGTGTATAAAATGACAGGCTTAATTTTCTTTGGACGATTAAGAACATGCTGAACATCAAAAAATACATATCATCTTGCAACAAATATATACAGAATTTTATCTCTGTTGGCATTGTGTCACTGTTTTTCACAGCAGGTATACTGACATGTTGATGAAGAGACAAAATGGTGGGTTCATCTGAAAAGCCTTTATCACCAAAGGGGGTCAAATGGAAAAGGTACAGCCCAGCAGTGCGTCTGGACACACCTGACGCCATGCCAGCTGCCCCTCTGTGACTCTTGTGAGCTTCTGTCCTGTTCCTCTTGCACTACCTGGGCAAGCACACACCTGTTCACTGGCCTCCGAGATGCCACAGGTCATCCCAGCTCATCCCAAAAGTGTTCAGGGGGAGGGGGGGGGGTCAAGCCTGGGGTTTGGGCGTCTACAAGAAGATTGCCACACCCCCCCAGTCGGGAGACAGCTGTTGCTCCGTGAACAGCATGAAGACGCGTGCTGCCCTGCTGGGCTGTG